CCCAGCTTCAAGCAATTCTCCTGCCTAACCTCCCAAGTAGCTGGGATTACAGGTGAGTGCCACCAGTAATTAGTGCCCCCAGTAATTTAGTGCCCAGCTAATTTTTGTGTTTTTAGTGGAGGTGGGGTTTTACCATGTTGGCCGGGCTGGTCTCGAACTCCTGACCTCAGGTGATCCACTGACCTCAGCCTCCCAAAGTGCTGGGATTACAGGCGTGACTGGTGCCTGGTTTACTAATTTTATTTTTTAGAGTTGAATGAACCTTTTCTTGTAGCACAGTAATGCCCCATGTAATTGAGGATGTGTGATGACTTGGGGTACCTCCACGAAATTGCTCTCAACAGCAAAAAGCCTATTGAGATGAGTTCCAGGACAGGTCAGCTTCAGCCACTACCCCCAGGCATTCAGCTGGGGCAGGGTAGTTAGTTATCTGCCTTCTGGAGCTTAGAGCCTAGATTTATGGTTTCTCTCTACTTCTCCTTTTATAGTGGTTACCTTTCTCTGACCTGTTCACTGCAGTGTGGTATGTGGAGTCAGATGAGGCACAGAGCTACTCATTACATTCCTTTGAGAAAATAGCAGGGTATGAACTAGGAGGTAAATTACAGGTATGGTATCTCATTACATAGTTTAACAACAGTTCTTTCAAACATTCTCTGTTGTCACTGCCATAACCAGTCCAAAAGCCAATTTCTAGATTATTTTGATTGCATTACCCAGTTTGAACTTTTTCTCTCTCAGACTCCTTGATTCCTGGAGATGTGAGACTTTTTGAATTCTGGGTCCCTGGTCTTCTTCTGCTTCAGAATTGATCGGTGGGCTGGAAAGGTGTGAATCAAAAGGGTGGTAATTGGTGAGGTAGCCATACTTTTGATGAAAAATTCTCTTCTCTTTCTCTCCCTCATTATTGCCATCTCCTTTCACTCACAGCACTGAATGGTTCAATAAATATTGAAATGGGAACCCAGAAGACCTGAGTTTGGGGCCTAGGTATTCCATTTATTAGTAGCTTTACCTGAAAAATTTAAGTCTCTGAGCCTGTTTTCTCATTGACAAGGTAAGGAGACTTTTTGCCTTTCTTACTCTACGAGGTTGTTGTGATGATCAGATAACACAATAAAGGTAATAGTCATGTGTAGCTTGATGTTTCACTAGAGGAAACTGTGATTCCATTTAAAAGGGCAGTTCCAGACCATGTGCTGTGGCTCAAGCCTGTAATCCCAGCACACTGGAGAATTGCTTGAAGCTAGGAGATCAAGGCCAGATTGGGCAATATAGTGAGATCCCATCTCTATAAAAAGAGTTTTAAAAAATTAACCACGTGTGTTGGTACATGCCTGTCATACCAGCTACTTGGGAAGCTGAGGCAAGAGGATCGTTTGAGCCCAGGAGTTCGAGGCTCCAGTGAGCTGTGATCATGCCACAACACTCCAGCCTTGGGTGACAGAGGGAGATCCTGTCTCTAAAAATAAATAAATGAATAAATAATAAAATAAAAAGGCAGCTGTAAGGAGACAGAAATTGACTAAGAAGTGAAACACTTCCCAGAGGCAGGTGAGTTGAATACGACCAGGGTTACAAAACCTGAGCAAGCTTGAGAATTTGTGCTTCCAGTAAGAAAATATTTTTATAAAAAGGGTCATATAAAATTTCCAGATAAAATACACATTGCATAAATACAGGACGTACTTATACTAAAAAATTCTTCACTGTTTATCTGAAACTCAAATCTGACTGGGAATCTTGTATTTCTACTTGTTACAGCTGGCAAGCCTACGGAGGTGATCCTCATGAGCAATCTGCTTTTGAGACTACTGACCCAGATCCTGAGTAGGGCCTACCATAAAGCCAGGGAAATGAGCTGACAGCCCACATGGTAAGAGTTCAGATGCTTCAGGGAGATGATAGTGGTTTTTTTGCTATGAGAATATAAAATCCTGCTTTGCCATCTCCCCTAGGCTTGGCATCTTACTCTTCGAATTTTTTTTTTTTTTTTTTTTTTTTGAGACAGAGTTTCACTCTTGTTGCCCAGGCTAGAGTACAATGGCTCGATCTCAGCTCACTGCAACCTCCACCTCCTAAGTTCAAACGATTCCCCTGCCTCAGCCTCCCAGGTAGCTTGGACTACAGGGGCCCACTACCACACCTGGCTATTTTTTTTTTTTAATATATTATTAGTAGAGATGGGGTTTTACCATGTTGGCCAGGCTGGCCTAGAACCCTGGACCTCAGGTGGTCCACCCACCTCGGCCTCCCAAAGTACTAGGATTACACGCCTGAGCCACTGGGCCCGGCCAACTCTTGGAATTTTAAACATTGTAAATACCAGCGTCCAAGGCAGGGGTAGAAACTTCAGGTACATATCCATTATTTATGCTTTACTGTAGCTGAATGACCTAGAAATAAGTTTTCCAGAGTGGGCAAAGAGATTATTAGGCCCTGGTTTCTGTAGAGAGGGGAGGATGGTAGCCTGACTGGTAAGTCCCAGAGTCCCAGAGCAGAGACTGGGAAATGCTGAAGACACGCTTTGCCTTCTTCCCAGGCTTTTCCATCTGTGCAACCCCACCTGGCTTCATGTCAGACCCAGGGCAAGCCTGGGAAATAGGTGGGGCTGTCTGTGCAACCTCTGTCTGTTGAGATGAAAGAGAAGTGTCTGGAGTGGTCCTGGGCAAGCAGTGACTTTAGCATTCTAGTACAAGCTGGTGATCATGGTGGAGGACAAAAAAACAGCTCTGATTTTCTTGTTGCTCCAGTTCAGCGCTGTCTGATAGAACTTTCTGCAATGATGGAAAAGTTCTGTATTGTCCATTATAGTAGCCACACATCACGTGTGACTACTGAACATCAGAAATGTGGCTAGTGTAACTGAAGAATTGAATTTTTAGTTTTATTTACATTGAATAAAAATGTAAATTTAAATAGTTGCATGTGGCCTATGGCTACCATATTGGACATGTGCTTTATGGGCCAAGGTCAAGTCCATACTGGAGCCACTCACTGGCTGGCAATTTATGGGCTGTAGAGATATTTAGTTTGCACAGTTAGAAAAACAAATCTGATTTAGATGCTGACATTTAATAATTGAGAGATTTCAAATGAAAACGTGAATTTCTGTTTTCTTTTGAAAATAATAGGCTACCTGGCAATGCCAGGCCAGCAATCCTTTGATGCCTCCATTAACCTGAGCTTGCCAGTGGTTATTTCGCTTTTGTTTTGCTTTGCATTCTGTCTGTTTTCCCTATTTATCTTACCTGCCTGGCTGCCGCAGGCATTCAATTTGAAAAAAAAATTCCGTTTCACTTTTATGAAAAAGACAAAGCTCCTAACTTTGCTTTAGGAATTTGGACCTTAGGAGGTGTCTGAGATAGAGATCAATTAGAAGGTGCTTCTCTCCGACTGACTAAAAAAAGGCCCAGTACAGGAAGGCAGAGGCTTCAAACTGTCTGAGCAGGCTTGCATGCTGGATCCATCACATTCTAAATGGACAACTTTGGGCAAGTCCCTTCCCCTCTCAGAAACTCAGTTTCTCCATCTGCAGCATCAAACTTGTAATGGTAGGGACCTTGCATTGCTATTATGAGGCTCTAATGAAATGAGGTGTAAAAAGTGCTCAAGGTCTATGCTCTGTAATAAACTTAAAATTTAGAAAGTGTCTTATTTACATATATATTTACAAACAGAGCCTCACTCTTTTGCCTGGACTGGAGCGCAGCAGCACAATCCTGGCTCGCTGCAGCCTCTACTTCCTGTTCTCAAGCCATCCTCTCATGTCAGCCTCCTGAGTAGCTGGGACTACAGGTGTATGCCACCACACTTGGCTGATTTTTGGATTTTAGTACAGATAGTGTTTCACCATGTTGTGCAGGCTGGTCTTGAACTCCTAGGCTCAAGTAATCCACCCTCCTTGGTCTCCCAAAGTGCTGTGATTACAAGCATAAGCCATTGAACCTGGCCCATTAATAATTTTTATATTTAGATAAGAATGTCACTTTTGGAAAGAAACTGGTAAGAACCAGACAGTGCAAAGAAAACACGCATTTTAAAAAATAGATTGAAAATAAATTGCTGCAGCCTATACACAAGGAATAAAAGATTGTTTTTATATGATTTCTGGGTTAATCTCATTGGTCACAATCTAATAAACCATGTAGAAATAGATTGCATGTTGAGCTTGTCAAGATGATGTTTGCTGCTTAGTGGCATTCTTAATTTGGAATTGGAAAGGAACCAGAAATGGCAAAAGAAATCAAATTCAGAAGGCGCATAAATCACCAAAAGCCTTCAAAAATAGGGCAATGGATGTAAATGTGAGCACAACCAAATGATTAGGAAGGAAGAAATGAAAATGTTCTTGCCAAAGATACTACTCGACCAAAGCAAAAGGGAAGAAGGTGTCTGAGTGGGTCAGGCATGGTGGCTCATCCCTGTAATCCCAACACTTTGGGAGGCTGAGGTAGGTGGATCAGGCAGGCAGATTATTTGAGGTCAGGAGTTTGAGACTGGCCTACCCAACATGGAGAAACCCTGTATCTACTAAAAATACAAAAATAAGCTGGGTGTGGTGGTAGGCGCCTGTAATCCCAGCTACTCTGGAGGCTGAGGCAGGAGAATTGCTTGAATCCAGGAGGTGGAGGTTCCAGTGAGCCAATACCATGCCACTGCACTCTAGCCTGGGTGACAGAGTGAGACCCTGTCTGAAAAAAAAAAAAAATGATGTCCCAGTAGAAGTGCAAAAAACAAGGGCAACCCCAAACTACTGCAGAAATCTCATGCAGAAAAGAAAAAGACTCCACTCTAGCCTGTGTCTAAGTCATTACAAAGAGTGGTAGCCAGCAGAATTTGTCAGACTTTTAATGTTATCAATTTTTGGAAAATGACAGGAATTTAAACTTGATTATAGCCATTTGACTCTAATCCTCTTAGGATATTTGATTATAAGAAAAGTGCTTAGAAAACAAACATTTGAGTGTGTGATTAAATGCAGCGTGGGAGGAGCAGTAGTCAGGGCTGAGCATTTAAAGAGCTACCATCCAGCTGGGGAGAGATAGGAGAGAACAGAGGCTCATCTGTGAGAGATAGAGACTGACTGGTGAATTTGGTTTTGCATGATCTTTACTTTTTAATAATTCAATTTCTTTCATTTTGAAATAGTGTTTGAAAGATAAATAGGCAAGAGTTTATTTCTGACAAAGGTATAAGGAGCCAGCATGTTTAAAGTCTCTGAGACTTAAAATAGTGAAAGAAGATGGGGAAAATTTTATTCTCCAGAATGTGGTGCACAGACAGGGTTGATGGTATGACTTATATCAGTAGCAAAGTCATGTGTAAGAATTTCAGGACATTGGAAAGGAGAGAACATGAATGGAAAACTAAACATGATGGTGAAATTGTATGGTATATGATGGAATTTCTGTGCAACCTCTGGTAATCTCTCACTAGGTTTAAGAATTATTTGTGCTCCTAGAACTATAGTAACTGAAAAGAAAAAAGAATTATTTGTGCATTATCCTTAGCAAACTGATTCAGGAACAAAAAATCAAATACTGCATGTTCTCGCTTATGAGTGGGAGCTAAATGATGAGAGCACATGGACATAAAGAGGGGAACAACAGACACTGGGGTCTACTTGAGGACGAAGGGCAGGAGGAGGGAGAGAATCAGAAAAAATAACCATTGGGGACAAAGTTAGTACCTGGGTGACAAAATAATCTATACCACAAACCCCTCTGATATGAATTTCCCTGTATAATCAACCTGCACATGTACACTGAACCTAAAATAACAATTTAAAAACTTAAAATAAAAGAATTATTTGTGGATACCAGTCCTGGGAGAGCCGTGGCAAGGATCAGTGGCAAGAGAGTGGACAGGGAGAACCACTGCTGCTGACATGCCATTTTTGTACACATTTTTAAGTGATACCTCTTTGGGACACAGTGGTACCTTTGTGTGAAAAACAGGCATTGTAGCCCCATGGCAGGTGCATAGTTTTGAGGGTAGAGTGCTGGTAAACTGCAGACTGTGCACTACAGAAGGTCTTCTAGCCAGGGAGTCTGTGCAACTTGATGTGGCAGCCCCAACCATGAGGAAGTATGCGTGGACATTTACAGGACACATGGAGGAGGGTTTTGACCATCACGGGTCATAGAAATAGGATTTAGGCCAAGATCACCTAATCCCTAAAAGATTTGGGGATTATAATATGTGTGTGTGTGTGTGTGTGTGTGTGTGTGTGTATGTAGTGTGCTCAGGAAACTGAGTAGGTTAGTATTTTTGGAAACTATATTTTTAAAGAGGTGTATTATTTTTCTGGAGCTACCAGGGCAAATTACCACAATTGGATGGTTTAAAACAGAAATTTATTCTCTCATGGTTCTGGAGGCCAGAATTCCAGAAGTCTAAAATCAAGGTGTGTGCAGCTTGGTTCCCGCTGGTGGCTATGAGGGAGTACCCAGCCCAGGCCTCTCTCCTCGTTTCTGGTGGCTGCTGGCAGTCTTTGGCACTGCTGGGCTTGTAGTGCGTCATCCAGTCTCTGCCTCTGTCTTCACACTGCCTTCTCTGATATAAAGACCGTTGACATTGGATACGGGGCTACTCTAAATCACAGATTATATCTCTAAAGACCTTTTTTTCTTTTCAAATTAAGTAATATCCGCAAGTTCCAGGAGAACATATTTTTGGGGAGGCCACCATTTAACCCACTATAAGAGGAGTCATGGTAAGACATTAGGCAGAAGTCTTCTAGCTGATATCAGCCAACTGCTGAATTTCCTATTTATATCAGTTTATGGTTCACTGTTATTCAAGTATTTGTCACTTACTTGGTGTCTATTTTAGCCTAGGCAGACTTTCATTTCATAATTGTGTGGCTTGGTTTTAGACAATTGTCTTAATCAGAAAAGCATAGTTCTCATGAACACACTTCTTTTTTTTTTTTTTTTTTTTCTTATTTATTTATTTGAGACGAAGTCCCTCTCTGTCATCTAGGCTACAGTGCAATGGCACAATCTTGGTTCACTGCAACCTCTGCTTCCCTGGTTCAAGCAATTCTCCTGTCTCAGCCTCCCAAGTAGCTGGGATTACAGGTGTGTGCCACCACACCCAGCTAATTTTTTGTAATTTTAGTAGAGATGGGGGTTTCACCATGTTGGCCAGGCTGGTCTTGAATTCCTGATCTCAGGTGATCTGCCCACCCTGGCTTCCCAAAGTGCTGGGATTACAGGCGTGAGCCACCACACTCAGCCACACTTCCTATTTCTGAAAGACGAAAAGTCCCTGACTACAGTCTTTGAGTTTTAGCCTAAATTTTCTATTTGCTGGAAATTGTTTTAAATTGTCGATATCTTACAGCATCATTTTCTCACTTATTAGTCTTTGCAGAGTGATTTCCACTGATGTATTAAAACCTTCTTGCAATCGACAAAGGATTACATGGAAGGATATGTGTATAATATATGTCCTACTGTAACCTTTCTCAGCCATGGTACATCAGATACTATATGGTTTTCTAAAACACTGAGTGCCAAGAGAATAGGCCATACGTATATGTATGTGTTGAAGAATGCTCGTTGTCACATACTCTAATGCCCATGGGTTTTAAAATTAGCATTATGTCAGGTTAAGGTGGCACATGCCTGTAATCCCCGCTAATTGGGAGGCTGAAGAGGGAGGATTGCTTGAGGTCATGAGTTTGAGACCACCCTGGGCAACATAGTGAGACCACATCTCTAAAAATAAATAAATAAGAATTTTAAAAAAGTTCTTTTTCTGAAATGGGGTTGGTTACAAAATGAAACAAATTGTTCTTTCATGGAATTAAAGAATGACAGACCTGAAAGGACTGTAGATTGACCAGCTCACACATTTTATAGACAAGGAAACTGATGCACAGAGAGGCTGACATATCAAAGGTCACACAGCTAGAGAGTGAAGGAGAGAGCATTAAAGTCTAGTGCTTCCTCCATTCACCTCTATTGCTTAAATTTGCAACAATTGTGAAAATTAAGTACATAGATAGAAGCCCTGATGAAATGAAAATTGGCATTCCTGTTTCCTAATGGCACACCTAGGATGAGAAACCTGGCCTCATCGTTTTTCATTCACTTATTCCAAAGCCCGAGGATGACCTCTCTCCCCCATTGCCATCACCATTTTACATTTTTCTAATTTTCTCCTCAGAACTATCTAATGTTTTATTTTTCCTTCCATGGAATGAGAAGAAGTAGAAAGTTCAGACTCTGGGAGGGAAACAGGAAGAAAGGTGGAAAGAAATAAAGGGAAGAGAGAAAAATATAATTTCTCCTTCCCAGCTCTCTATTTTTTCTATTTTCAGGTGTCAATATTATTCTAGTGTTTTTGTTTTGTTTTGTTTTGTTTTTTATTATTATTATTTTTTAGATGGTGTCTTTCTCGTCTCCCAGGCTGGAGTGCAATGGCATGATCTGGGCTCACTGCAACCTCTGCCTCTCAGGTTCAAGCAATTATCCTGCCTCAGGCTCGTGAGTAGCTGGGACTACAGGCACCCACCACCACGCCTGGCACATTTTTAGTAGAGATGGGAGTTCACTATGTTGGTTAGGCTGGTCTTGAACTCCTGGTCTCAAGTGATCTGCCTACCTTGGCCTCCCAAAGTCCTGGGATTATAGGCGTGAGCTACCTTGTCCAGCCCTAGTGCTGTGTTTTTAAAAATTAGAAAGAAATGAAATGCCTGTCAACAACAAAGTTGTTGAATAAGTAGTTCTCAATATTTGGTGTGTTTCAGAGTCTCCTCTAAATACTCCTTTTTTTAAATTTTAATTTTTATCTATTTTTATTTTTTCCATTGGTTAGAAGACACTCCTAAATATATGAATGTTTGAGCCTCATGCCAGACCTTCTGTATAAGCTGGACACTGGCAAGAGGAGAATGACCAAACTTCATAGGTGATCATAATGCAGACTGAAGTCTGCTAAGTACACACCAAATTATATTATGATAAATTCATGCAAAGGAATACTATGCAGCCATCAAAAGGATAATGTAGATCTACATGAATTTACATTGGTGAATGTCCATAATATGTTGAGTGAAAAGGTCAGGTGAAAGAATAATAATTTTAAGATTATTTCATTTGTTTAATAATATATATTATATAACATATACATGCAATTATAGCATATTGTGAATATGTGTGTATGTATGTATAATATCAGAAAGAATATGGAGCCAGTGTTCTACAGTGGTGTTAAAGAATTCCATTTTCTGCCCAATATAGCTCCATTTTTGAATTTTTATACGAGTCTATTATGAACCATGCATACTGTGTTGAGGGGGAGTGTTAAAATAAGAAACTGCCTGGGAGCTTCTGTCCTTAAATGACAAGGTCAGGGAATCTTCTGATGAGGATTAAATTAATTAACACTATTTAAATAATTTACCACTGTAAAAATGTTTTATTCATCTTCTCTTTGAGCTTACTCTTTTCAACCATTCTAAATTACAGATAGCACACGTTTAACTTACCTTATAAATTAACTTCTTCACCTAGAACAGGAAAGAAAACAAAATTTACTGCCCACCTGTTTTGTGGCAAAAGCCACAACTTGTAGTGAGGTTAATTCACTAGCTTTCATAAGAGAAAGAATAAAATGATCATCTTTCAGGACAGATACACTGTTTGTGTCACAGGCACTCCTGAAATATATTACTACATACTAACACTAGAGTATCTTGGAACATGAGTGAATATTTTATTGGAGAGGGAGAATAGGTTCAGTTTTCCTACATGGCATTAAATGTTAAAAAAAAAAAAAGACAGACATTTAAAAATCAATTTACCATTTCTCACAGATCAGGCATGGTTAATAATTTTGAGTCCCTGAGTAAAAAGTTTGGAAAAAGTTGGCTATAATTTTATTTGCAAGGTAAATAATTTCCCAGACACTCTGCAGTGTGGTCACCCCCATGAAAGGAGAAAAAGGACAGAGTAGTAGAGGTAATGTATGTTTCTCTGTGTTGTTTCTTTCTGCCTGATTTGGCATTATATTGTGTTTGTGATTTTAAAAAAAATTATAAATTAGGTCAAATTCTTTTTGTAGGTAGACAGAATATTAATATAGTTACATCAATAAATATTTAACTTTGTATGCCTATGTATATTTCTCTACACATATCCCTCAAACTGTAAATTAATTATTAACGTGAGTCTTTTCATTTTGCTAAGACTCTGAGCCACTTCCTCTAGTTGGTGGTTGTATGTATTGTACAAATGAGCCTATTGTATGTAGGTTGTTTAACTTTAATTTGAAAAAAAAAAAAAACACTTCCATGGCCATTGCTAGTATCCTTAAACCAACTGGTTAATTCACAGGTATGTATTGTTGGTGAGGAGAGAGCAAAACCCTACATATTGTAATCTTCTAAAAATACAACCTATCATTACTTTTAGAAAAACAAGCCCAAATACCTGACTGTGTATCAGAGATTTTATATATTTGGAATATGGTATGACAAAAGTTTTACTAAAAATAGATGCAGGCCTTTGATATGAGAAAGATCTTGGCTGGGCGTGATGGCTCACACTGGTAATCTCAGTACTTTGGGAGGCTGAGGCAGGAGGATCGCCTGAGGTCAGGAATTGGAGACCAGCCTGGTAAACATGGTGAAACCCCATCTCTACTAAAAATACAAAAAAGTTTAGCTGGGTGTGTGATGGTGCATTCCTGTAATCCCAGCTTCTCAGGAGGCTGAGGCAGGAGAATCACTTGAACCTAGGAGGCGAAGGTTGCAGTGAGCTGGGGTCACACTGGCCTGGGCGACAGAGTCACACTCTGTTTCAAAAAAAAAAAAAAAAGAAAGAAAGAAAAATCTCATGTTCTTTCATAAAAAGATATTGGTTTTGCCTAACCAATTCTATCATTTCTAGATATCTTGAAGTCCTCTTCAGATTTGTAACTAATTATAAAATTATTATTATATGTATGCGATGTTTTCATATTTATTGCAAAACTTACAAGACCAATTTTTCACATTCAGTTTTTGCTATTGTCATTAATGTTGTTTTTGTGGAAAATGGAGATAACAAAAAAGGATTAAAATCCTGGATTTATTGTGATCAAAGACAGCCTGATGGTTAGCCTCTTCTAAATCTTAAAGCACTGACTATTAACTTTCACAATAATATTAAACTTCTTACCCCTGCTAATATATATGCAAAAGAACCAACGCAAAATACTTGAGCTCAGAGCTTTACATATTTCTCCATATGGATTCTTAGACATCTGTGGAAACACCTGAGTCAGATCTGTTCCTGAATGCATTTGTTTGGTTCTGCTTTAATTCTGTATATATCACACAGCTCCCCAGGCATGCTCGAAGCACCAGCTATTTAGACTCAGTCTTTTCCTAATACCGGCTTAACCTCCAACCTCAAATATGGTGAAAATCTGTATCTCTCCTATACTGCTGAAGACTTTCTAGGGGCTTATGTTTTCTGAAGCCAGGTTCTGTCCCAATTTCTGGTTGAGGATGAAATTTCTTTCAGATTGATCTAACAGTAGTTCTTTTTGATTCTCAGTCCTAAAACAATCCAAAACAGGAAGCAGAGTCCCTATTCCATTAATTGCCACATACCATAAACAAGGCAGTGGATGTGGCTGGCTTTTCTGAAGAATAGGCATAATATAAAACTGAGAAAGCTTGTCCTTAGAAATCTGTGTCATTCTTGTGTTTTTTTTCTCCTCAGGCGTCAGCTACCCATTATTTTCTAAGCCCTTGTATCTCTCCTCAAATTTTTCACTTTTCCCACTTTCTGCCCATTCTTATGAAGAGAGAATTTTTTTCCCCTCTTTTCCTTGCTCCTTTGCTTTTCAGAACTTCCTTTTCTTCAGCTAGGATGACTATCAAGATGCTTTGCTAAACCAGAGTTTTCCCTCTAGAAGAAATTCTGCCACAAGCTAATTTTTTTTAATCAAAAGAATGATGCAGGCATAAGACTTAAAAACTTTCCACAGAGAATACAGAGAAAGTGTGATTTTCTCCCACCCCATACTGCAAATGCCCGAATTCTTGTGGTTCTTACTCAAAGGTATCTCTTTGTGCCAGTTTCCTGGGTACATAAGTGTGTCTGTATCCCCATGTTTTGAAAAGTACTGTGCTGTGTACCTCCCATTTCCGCTGCATATCCACTTTTGACCTTTTCTTCGTCACTCAGAGTTCCTCTTAGATGCATCCTCAGGCTCCTGCACCTTGGGCTTCACGTTGGAAGATGAGAGAAGAGAAGAGAGGTGGGGCCTTGGCCTGGCTTCCTGAGATCCCACTGTGGCTCTCTCCGGTGACTCTTTTCTTCCATGTATTGTATTTGTGCCTTTCCTTCACCTGTTTAGGCCTTTTTGTGGTTACAGTGCCTCATCCTCTCTCTAGAGGTTTTTCCGCACCCCAACCAGAACTTATAAACAGTCTCCTTTTAAAACTCAGATTATCCAGCATGACTGTGCTATATGCTGCCTTTAGGGAATCCCAAAAATACAAAGCAAAGCACCACATGTACGGTTTTCTGGAGCTTAACTGTCAGGCCGTATCAACTTGCATGCAATCAACCTGAGGCCTCTATGAGCATAATTTCCAATTGCACTGATGTCATTTATTTACCCAGTCCCTTACTGGTGGCAAATAGTTTGTTTCCAGTCATCCTATGTATAACTTTACTACAAACATAGATCCCAGTGTTTGTGTCTTTGCACATATGTGTAAGCATTAACTGCAGGATAATTTTTAAAAATAGTAATTGCTACACCAAAGAGTATTTGTATTTAAAATATTAATAAATACCGACAAGTGCACCACTTAGAGGCTTGCATTAGTCTATACTGCCGTTGACAATGTCTTGTCATTATAGTGTATTATTTGCCAAATCAATAGGTGTAGGAAGGTACCTTGTTGTGATTTTAATTTGCATATTCAAAATTTAAGATGCACAACAACTTTCCATGTACTTAAAATGATTATTTCCCCTGAGAAGCTCCTTTCCCTATTTCTCTTATGTAAGTGCTTTTAAAAATATTATGTAATATATTCTTCTTATGTAAGTATTTTTTTAAATATTAAGGAAATTAATTCTTTTTCTCTCTTATGCATTTCAAATTTTTATTTTCCTATCACATTGATTTATAGCTTTACTTTTGAAACACTTCCAATAAAGAAAATTTAAATTTTGTATAGTGACATTTATTAATCATTTATTTTCTTTGTTAGCAAGGCCTCCCCCATTCTGAGACAATAGAAAGATTCACACTTTCTCCTGGTATTTTAACTATTTTTTTTTTATGTTTTTATGTTTAAAACATTGAACTGTGGACATTTTTGTTATAAAAAATTAAGCAGGCCTAGTTTCTCCTCGATGTTAGTGTTGTTCCTTCTCCACTTAATGACTGCTCTCATGTTTCCCCATGACTTGAAAAAACGCCACTTTTGTATATGTATTAGTTTGTTTCTGTACTGCTATAAAGAAATATCTGAGACTAGGTAATTTATAAAGAAAAGAAGTTTAATTGGTTCACTGTTTTGCAGGCTGTACAGAAGCATAGTGTCTTCTGCTTCTAGGGAGGCCTCAGGAGATTTACAATCATGATGGAAGGTGAAGGAGAACCAGGAATGTCTTACATTGCCAGAGCAGGAACAAGAGAGAAGAAGGGAGGTGCTACACACTTTTAACACAACCAGATCTTGTGATAATTCACTCACTCACTATCACAAGAACAGCACTGAGGAGATGGTGCTAAATCATTCATGAGAACTCTGCCTCTGTAATCCACTCACATCTCACCAGGCCCCACCTCCAACACTGGGGATTATGATTCAACATCAGATTTTGGTGAAAACACAGACCCAAACCATAGCAATACATACTGAATTTCTATGTTCATTTGGGTCTGACTCTGAATTTCTATTTTGTTCCATTGTTTTTGTTAATCTAATTTATTAGTTGTCATAGGCTATGCTATGCCATGATATAAATTATTCCTGAAATATCAGTTGATTAATAAAATGAAGGTCAAGTTCTCCCTCAGACTCTATGGCAATGTGGATTATTGCTACAAATAATGTGGGTGTGCTCCACATGGTCACTCAGAGATCCAGGTTGATACACACACCGCTGATCTTATGACACCAAAGACCATCCTTGTAGTCTAAAATATGGTCAATTTTATAAATGTCCCATAAGCACTTGAAGCAAAAGTATATTCTCTTTCACAGAGTATGAAGTTTCACATATATTTTAGTTAGATTGACATGCTTAATTATATCATTTGCTTCCTCTATATCTTATTCATGTCTACATGGCTTTCTTAGATTAAGAAGAATAAGTTATATTTCTTCTACTGTTCTATTTTTTCATTTCTTTAGTTTTGTTGAACAATTTTTAAGAGCTCCTTTGAATTAAAAACATGTGTTGAGTTATAATATACATATAGTAAAGGACACGCCTCTTATGTGTAAAGATTGATGATTCTTTATGTGTGACCACCGGGACCCCAGAAGACACTTTCTTGCCCTCTCCCAGTTAGTACCCTGCCAAAAATAATTTGTATATTAGTTTTGCCTGTTTTTGATCTTTATATAAACTCCCTTCTTTCCCACCATCTGATCTTGCTAGGTTAAAGAATTAATTTAGTAATTTCCTTTTTATTTTCAAACACATTAGACCTCTATAACTTGACTAATCAGCTTTAAACAAATTCCTTTTTTCTTTCCTCTGTGATCGATAAGGAAACAAATAACCTTACATAACTGCTGCCTTTCTCTTTGCTTCCTCTTCCCAATTTTAGTGAGTTCAGTTATTACACTTATTATGCAATAACCTAATTGTTCAGTCTTTGTTCATCCTAAATTTCTATTGATTCAATGGTCACTATTATTCCCTTCACCATTGTTTCTTCCTGCAGCACTTTGAAAGCTGAAGTTCTCGTATAGCAGGTTTTTTCAAGAAGAGATTCATGGGAAGTGTATTTCCTGATTTCTTTCACGTTTGAAAGTATCTGTCTGGGCCAGGTACAGTTGGCTCATGCTTGTAATCCCAGCACTTTGGGAGGCCGAGGAGGGTGGATCACGAGGTCAGGAATTTGAGATGAGCCTGGCCAACATGGTGAAACCCCATCTCTATTAAAGATACAAAAAATTAGCCAGGCATCGTGGCATAATTCCAGCTACTTGGGAGGCTGAGACAGGAGAATCTCTTGAACCCAGGAAGTGAAGGTTGCAGTAAGCCATTGCATTCCAGCTTGGGTGACAAGGCAAGACTCTGACTCAAGAAAAGAAAAAAAAAAAAAGAAAAAGAAAAAAGATAAAAAATGTATCTGTCTATTGCCTTTATTCTAAGCAACGAGATGTGTGGGTCTAAAATTATTACATGGTATTTTCTTTCCCTGATGACTACTTCTGAAAATTATTGTAGAACTCAATGTTCCTGTAGAGAAGTCTGAGCCATTAAAGCCAGAAAAGAATTAGTTTTTTTTTTTTTTTGAGACAGAGTACTGCTCTGTCACCCAGGCTACAGTGCCACAATCTTGGCTCACGGCAACCTCCACCTCCTGGGGTCAAGTGATTTTTGTGCCTCAGCCTCCCAAGTAGCTGGCACTATAGGCATGCACCATCACACTTGGCTAATTTTTGTATTTTAGTAGAGATAATCTTCCGCCATGTTGGCCAGGCTGGTCTTGAACTCCTGACCTCAGGTGATCCATCCGCCTTGGCCTCCCAAAGTGTTGAGATTACAGGCATGAGACACTGTGCCTGGCCTTAATTTTTCTTTTTAATGAGCTGATCATTTTTGTTTGGATGCCCTTAAGATGCTTTCCTTTCTGCTATTTATTGAGTATACTGATCAGTGGTAATCAATATATATTATTTTTTTCTTGGGACATGTTGTATTCTTTTTCTTTTCTTTTTTTCTTTTTTTTCTTTTTTTTTTTTGAGATGGAGTCTTGCTTTGTTGCCCAGGCTGGAGTGCAGTGGGGTGATCTTGGCTCATTGCAACCTCCAACTTCCGGGTTCAAGTGATTCTTCTGCCTCAGCCTTCCTGTAGCTGGGATTACTGGTGCACACCACCATGCCTGGCTAATTGTTTTGTATTTTTAGTAGGGACAGACTTTCACCATGTTGTCTAGGCTGGTCTTGAACTCCTAACCTCAAGTGATCTGCCCGCTTAGCCTCCCCATGTTGTCTAGGCTGGCCTTGAGCTCCTAACCTCAAGTGATCTGCCCGCTTAGCCTCCCAAAGTGAAGTGCTGTGATTACAGGTGTGAGCTGTTGCACCTGACCAATGTTGTGTTCTTTGAGCCTGTTGATTTAATATTTCAACTTCTTGTAAGATGGTAGACTGAGTATTTAAGAGGGAAGCCTTCTTTCCATTGTAAGACATTGAAAACGTCAAAAACAAGAAGAGAAAAGTGAGGCCATAATTGAATTAAATATATAGCTTAGAATCTAACAAGAATGAAGCATATGGAGATGAAAAAATGGAAAATTAAAAGAGAAGGCAACCAACAGACAGAGAATGGGAAGATCCAACATATGCCAAATAGAATCTGTGAAGGAGCCTCTAGAGAGAATGAGGGGAAAGCAATATTCAGAGGACTAATGGCTGAGAACTTTACAGACTTTAAGAAAGACACCATAACCCTGAGTCTTTACCAGGATAAAGGAAAACACATTATTGAGAAACAAGATATTGAAACCACAGAACATCAGGAAAAAAACCCTGTAATAGTGATAGAAATTATCTACAAAAGAATGATAATGAGACAAATAGCAACCATAGATACCATAAGACAATTAAATAATATCTTCAAAGGTTGGGGAAAAAAACCCAACAACCTACATTTCTATACCAAGCTAACAATATAACAGTGAAAAGGAGGCTTAGCATGACTAACTCCATTTTGTTCCTAACCCTCTCATCCACATGATATTTTTAGGTTAACTCCTTTTGCTTTCTTCTGCACATAGGCCAAGCTAACCATGGGAGGAATTTGGTTTGTAGTTTAACTTTAAAGCAAAGATGATAATAGTTCCCCCTAAACTAACCCGAAGAGATAATGAGGGTGTACACACAAGTAACAATGTTATGTTAAGGACTTCCAGGAGCAAGGACAAGGTTTCTTTTTTTTTTTTTTTTTTTTGAGACAGAGTTTCCCTCATGTTACCCAGGCTGGAGTGCAATGGCGTGATCTCGGCTCACTGCAACCTCCGCCTCCTGGGTTCAGGCAATTCTCCTGCCTCAGCCTCCTGAGTAGCTGGGATTACAGGCATGCACCACCATGCCCAGCTAAATTTTTGTATTTTTAGTAGAGACGGGGTTTCACCATGTTGACCAGGATGGTCTCGATCTCTTGACCTCGTGATCCACCCGCCTCGGCCTCCCAAAGTGCTGGGATTACAGGCTTGAGCCACCGCGCCCGGCCAAGGTTTCTTAACCCATCCCTTTCACCCTCACCTCCAATCCTCACTGCCACCCAGATGTCTGTGATCATTGGTTACTTCTGTATCTCAAACGCTTCCCTCTTCCCCCTTCCCCTAACCTTAAAGAAGTCTGAGATTTCTATTAACTTATGATGGTTCTTTAGGACATTAGTCTGCCTGCCATCTTCTCTCTCTCTTTTTTCCCAGGGGGAGACAGGGTCTCACTCCATTGCCCAGGCTGGAATGCAGCGACACAATCTCAGTTCACTATAGCCTCTACCTACTGCACTCAGGTGATCCTCCCACCTCAGTCTGCTGCGTGGTTGGGACTACAGTTGTGCACCACCATGCCCAGCTAATTTTTGTATTTTTAGTAGAGATGGTGTTTTGCTATGTTGCCCAGGCTGGTCTCTAACTCCTGGGCTCCTGTGATCCACTTGTCTCAACCTCCCAAAGTGTTGAGATTACAGGTGTGAGTCACCCTGCCTGGCCTAGTTGGCTCTCTTAAAGTCACTTTCCTTTCTACAACACTTTGTCTCTCAGCTGATTGGCTGTTGTACTGTGAGTGGAAACCTAATTGGTCATAATTGTAAATATTGTTATAGTAAGGGTATTGTCTCTTGCCATGGAGGCATGCTTACTGTGGTGCCTTAAACTATCTATTTTAAGATAAGTAACTGTAATTTTCTACTTTGGTTACTCTCCAACATTCATGGTTACATTTAGGAAGAATTCACATCTTTATAATATTGAATTTCCTATGATTTTCATTATTTATTTGTTTTATTTTTTAAAGACAGGCACTCTACTGCCCAGGCTGAAGTACAATGGCATGAACTCAGCTCACTGTGATCTCTGCCTCCCGAGTTCAAGCAATTCTCTTGCTTCAGTCTCCTGAATAGCTGAGATTACAAGTGTGTAACACCACACCTGGCTAGCTTTTTCTTTTCGAGACATGGTCTCACTCTGCCTCCCAGGCTGGAGTGGCACGATCATGGCTCACTGCAACCTCGACCTCCCGGGCTCAAGTGATCCTCCCACCTCAGCCTCCTGAGTAGCTGGGACTACAGGTGTGTACTATCATGCTTGGGTAATTTTTGCATTTTTTATAGAGGTGGGGTCCCACTATATTTCCCAGGCTGGTCTTGTA